TGCCCTGTTGCCAGGCACCAGGCTGGAGTGCAGTGGTGAAATCTCAGCTCACTGCAACCTCCGCCTCCGGGGTTCAAGCAATTCTCCTGCCTCAGCCTCCCAAGTAGCTGGGACCACAGGTGCACGCCACCACGCCCAGCTAATTTTTGTATATTTTAGTAGAGATGGGGTTTCACCATGGTCTCGATCTCTTGACCTTGTGATCCGCCCGCCTTGGCCTCCCAAATTGCTGGGATTACAGGCGTGAGCCTCTGTGCCCGGCCTAAAAGTCCTCTTAGATCATTTAACCAAAAACAAACAAACGAACACTCCAGATAAACCAACAGATGAAGATCTATTTACCTGTCTGACTGAGAGAACAGCCCCATTTATTCATACATGAGGCATAGCACAAACCTGTTTCTCTACACATGATGCAACTCTCTTATTCAAACAAAATCTATATTCTTTTTCCTGGTCTTCATCAACATAGCCTCCTCCAATTTGGTTTAGGACATATTGGTTTCCTTGAACATGGTAGATGGCTAACAAATGGTGATAGAATTAAATAACCTTTGATACTACCCTGCGGTGCATGGGTTGTTACTGTTAAATTGTTCCTATTGTCTTGTGTAAAATAGACTGTTTTCTTAAAGCAGGACCTGGGTATTATCCCTTACATGTAGCAGCTCTCTAACAGCATCCAGTATATTGCCATGCATTGTGTCAGCGCTCGATAAACATTAATTCAAATTGAATTGAATTGTTTATGAGGGGAGGAGAAAAATGTCAGAGCACCGAGATTTAATATTTTTGGGCTTCCTACTAAAGATTAATCTAAAAGAAACTATGAATTTTTTTATGACATATGGTCTCTTCCCAGGAAGGCAGATTCAAATGAAAGAGAGTGAATATGGCGTATTTATATCCTGCATCTTAGAGATTAGTAGCTAGAATACAGTTTGTCTTCATCCCTATTTTTTTTGCTTTCTCAGCCTGACTGCTGAGAAACATGGAGTCTACCCTCTAACTGGCAGAAAGGTGCGCCTGGGTGGAAGGGGTTTCTGAAAGCTATACATAACGTCTGCTGTTTCTAAAAGCTGCAGAGCTCCATCAGACCCTTTCAGAGCCCAGAGCACAGCATCCCCCAGATCTGAGCAGTAAAAGTAAATGACAAGTCACGTTGTCTGTGCGGTAAC